TCATTAGAAAAATCTCACCAACACGTTAAAAAAAATTCCAGATGAAAAAAAAAAAAATTAAAGAAATTATATTTTTCTATTATGAATTGTCGAGCCGTGAAATCTCGTAAAAGAAACCGAGTGGTGTAGGCGCTTGACTGACAACGAACGAGATAACATAGGCGCAGCAATGACGCAGCCTAGACGTAGGACCATCTATACTGACACTTGTAGAATCCAAACTGACTGACACTTGTGGAGAATTTACTGTATATCGGCTGTTATTAGAGATGGAAAAAAATTTGTTAGGCCAAACTTGCTTGGTGTCGAGGGGTACATAATTTGATATAAATTATTTGATATAAAACTTCGTTTTTTTAAATGGAATGATATATTGTTTTACGTACCATCTAGTAGAGCATTTTAAGACGCATACAATGACCTATGGTTCAAGATCATGTAAGATCACTGAAAGGGAAAATAATTTACTTTATATGAGCGATATATAAATGTAAATTATATTATATAATACTATATAAATTATATGTACCTCGACATCAAGTATGTTTGGTCTGACACATTTTTTTGTATCACCAATAACAGCCGAGATATTCAGACGGCCTCTTTTAGGTGCCTCACTTTGTATAGTTTTGCGACAACGCGCGATTCAAAGCCCTTCGCACTTGATGTCCGTCCTTGCAGATTGGACGGACCTAGCTTCCTAACTCTGTATAAATAGGGGCTTTGTTTACCCAAAAAGGCAGTCACGATTCTCTTGTGGGTGTTGCAAATTTCCCGCACTATAAACTGTGTCGTCCAAGGACAATCAACCAGTTGGTAACACCAAGGAAAAAACACCGTTCGGTAAATGGGCCACGGTTCATAGGAACGGACTACTGAATTCCATTCACCCTCCCCCCTAACTCACAGCACTTTGAAAGTAAACAGAAACCTCAAAAAGGCAATCATGATTTAGCAAGTCAAGCAGCGGCAACACGAGCAGTCGTTACTGTCACAGTTTATAGCATTCTATCGCTAACGACGAATATCCAAATCCCGCTTACACCTTTTGCCGCCTTGAGGAAACCGAGACACCACCTGACGATCGGTACTTGAGCGTTCCTTAACCCTTTGAACTCGAAATTTAAAAAAAAATTTTTTTTCAATAACTCCCTATTATTTTAAGAATTTTATTTGAAATGCACTTCAAAGGACATTTGATTGATAGGAATCAATTTAAACAATTTTTTTTTACTAATTATATTGAAAATAGCATTAAGGGTCATATATGTACATATACAAGTAAGTGTATGTGTACCTATTGCTCATCCAGGTAAAAAAAATATTGCAAAATATAATACATATTTAAACTGGCAATTTAAAAATTACTTCATTCATACCTTTGAATAAAACTGATGTCGAGTTATACTCGACAAAGGAGTCCAAAGGGTTAAACAACTTTTGTAAGATCCAATTTTTGATACTTTTCTGTGACAAGCACGCTGTATCAACGTATATCTATTTTCTTTGAAATCTACACAAGCTGTGTAAAGTATTGATTCCGTTACGCTTCGGACAAAATGTACCATACTTTTTATCCCTAATTTCCAGATTAAATCCGCGTCGAAAGAACGATTATTTTGCCGAGATTCCATTGAAAGTTGGCAAAGTTGCGAATGGAAATTATAATGAGATACGCATAGAAACTTGGTCTCGGTAAACGCATAGTTGCCCGGGAAGTTTTAGGTAATTTCGCATGAAATTAATCATAAATTCAGATCGTAATGAGAAAAAGCGGTAATTTCGTTCCGAAACAATTCCAGGATCGGTGGACGAGATCCGGAGAATTAAAATTCCATCGATGAAGGCAATCATTTCGCTCGAACGATATCGTACGGTCATTCGAGTGATCCTCCATGTTGAATTAATCATAAGACGGGGGCACGTGGTACGAAACATCGTGAGCGGAAAAGGCAATGATTAAACGACGGCAATCCTCCGCGTACAATGTGTTTCTCGAATGTCCGTTGCAGCTAGAGCTCTCATCTTCTCAATCATGCATATACAAATACACGAATATATGAAAAAAAAACAAAAAAAACACCGAACTCTACTCTGCAAAGCTACCAAACGAATGAAAAAAAAATCTGAATATCTGTAAACACCTGTCGCAACCAGGAACCAATTTTCAAATTTCATTCTCAAAAAAATTTACCTTCGACTTTCCGTAATCATTTTAACCCTTTCATTGCTGTTTAGAATCTATAGGCACTTTGAAAGTTTAACGAAGTAACACGCCTGTGTTCACACGTCGAGTTTACTTCGCTTCGATTAATTGAAAAAGAGGAAATTTCATTTTGTCACGAATAATTTCGAGAGATGTGAATTTCACAAGGATTCTTCAGAATTTTGTAGAACTCGTTCGAGTTTAGAGTTATTTTCGTTTGCTTGGAAAAAATGGTTTCATCGATCTGTTGTACTATCATCCTCCTTGGTGAGACTTCTAAGAGGATACACTCCTGAGGAGGAGAACCACAGGGTGAACTCACTTGTCGCTTGAGCCTGCTCTTGTCTCAATGCCATAAATTAAGACAAGTGCCTAGTTGACGATCCACACAGATAGGCTCTAGGCTTTGTTAGCCAGATATTGTGTCCAGTAAACTTGCCCTACTTTTACTAATTATATTGAAAATAGCATTAAGGGTCATATATGTACATATACAAGTAAGTGTATGTGTACCTATTGCTCATCCAGGTAAAAAAAATATTGCAAAATATAATACATATTTAAACTGGCAATTTAAAAATTACTTCATTCATACCTTTGAATAAAACTGATGTCGAGTTATACTCGACAAAGGAGTCCAAAGGGTTATCCCTCGCAATACCAAAGTAAGTATGTTTTAAAACGCAAACTACCAGCGGTGGGGCATTTTGTGACCACCTCAGGAAATAATTTTACCTACCATTTTAATGTTCAGTGAATAATAAACGAATGATAAATAAGCATTTTTGATGTCAAGAAAACATTTCTATATTAATTCTAAGTGAAATACATACAATATTTTTGCTATATTGTTCACAAACAATTTGTGCTTTGATGTTAAATTTATTAGGCATCATTGTCTTCCAATGATGTAATTGTTTCACATTGCGTGCAAGTTATTGTCTTTTTACTGTGTTTTCCACATGTATATCTTTTACAAGGGCTGCAGATGATTGTAGTTTTGCTTAGTTTGTTATAGTTTTCTTTTTTTGATGCTGCTTCACGGGCACACAAGTAACACCTTCCATTGCCACCGCACAGAGCTGTGCTAATTGAATCAAACCGTAATTTAATTACGTAATTAATTACATCCTAGTTAAATTGCATAGTATTTCAATTACGTCGTAATTGAATTTATGCAATTCAAACCTTTCAATTATTTCAATTGCTAATTACTTTGTCATCGTTGTAATTAAAAGTATAATGTAATTGAAATACAAATTAATTGTGATTCGATGTAATGAAATTACAGTTCCGGGACTCTGAAGAAGTGAGATAAATGTTAATTTTTATCTTCCCTGTCTATACGGCGTACTTGCCGGTAATGAGTCGGCAACATGAAATCTTAATGAGTTGCATTATGTGATTGCCGCTATTTTTTCCTTTCCGTCATCGTTCAAGTGACACCACCCTAACCACAATCGGCCCCTTACGGGGCCCAAATTTTTTAAACGTAATAGATTGTTCTTGAATATCCCCACCTTTGCCAGTGGCAAATGAAAGGGACAGTGAAAAAAAAATACAGTGAAGTGAGTTCATCTACCGTAACATCAGCTGTTTCGGATTGCCTGGAAAGGTCGGGATTGACACACTGACCCAGTGCCAACGACCCACTTCCGTCAAAGCAGGTTCATTCGTGGACGAATGAGTAAGTTTTTCATAAGTAATAAAACACTTTATTCCTTTCGATTAACGAATAAAAGTATCGAACACAGTTATTAAATGACTTACTTGTTATTCATGAAAAAGAAAAAAAATACGTTTTGTAAATCTATGTCAATTATAAAATTTCATCGAAATCGGTGGATGGAGAAACAAGCAACAGGCATCGAAAGACGTAAGAATCTGCAGATTTATTACAGTTTTACGCCGAAAGTCGTGATATTGCGATTTTCACTATCTTTAACCGTTTGTAGCTCATAGAAACATTAACCAATTTCGATGAAATTTTCAGCGTGTGTATAATTGACATAGTTCTACAAAACGTATTTTTTAGATTTTTATTACGAGCTCAGATATAAAAGTTGTAAAAACGACCTTCGCTATTTTCTTCGCGATTCCGACTAATTGCAGTTTTTTCGAAAATTTATACAAACGTCGGAATGACGGCAAAAAACCATTTCTCTAAGCCTTATAAAAATAGCGGTGCAGAGTCAAATTTTTTTGACAGCGATCGAGAACCGAGAAGTCAAGCGTACGCGTCGTTCACGATAGCGCGGGGGTGAATCTCTGTTCGCCCGTCCCCCGAAAACTAAGATTTTTGGTGGTGGGGAACGTCAGATTTCCGCGGGAACTGAATGTAAGCTCATCCCTTTGCTTGGCGACTATCGGGGGGGTGCGTGTTAGACTAAACATTCGGCGCCGCACGCTTCGGGTAGAACGCGTACGTAACAACACCCTGTATTTACGATATATCGACGTCTCCCGGAATCATACCGAATACGCTCTGATGTTCTCCGGGAAAAATTGGATTAATTAAAATTTAAAGTTAACATCAAAATCTGGCAGTTTTACCTGACTTTCTCTTTGTTTTACTAAATTAAAATAATCCCTGTCACAAATACATTTTCTTCGAACTGTATGTCTATAAACAATAGTGACCATGATGTTTTGAGAGTAAATTTTTTAATTGCCTCTAAATGTTGTATAATTGTTTAACAAACATGTAGTTTTCGTTGGGCCTAGTTTCAGGTAAATATTTATGTAAGAGGTGAAAAACGTTCGAAGAGTTAGAAGAAATAAGATTTGTAAAATTAATAATATTTGCCTTCCGAAGTTTCATCACAGTCGGCGGAATCTCGCTGGCCCAGGCGAAGTTGCATTGTGGACAGGTGTGTCTGGCTTTCCAATAACGATGCATGATAGATTGTAATATCGAAGCGAATGGTGTCACTCCAATTCCTGTTGCTATTAGGACCGCGTGTTGTGCCTGGAATATATGACTCGAAGGAGCTCCATATGGTCCATCCAGGAAAATCTAAATGATAATTAATTTCTCACTGAAGTTTCAATTTTTCGTAAATTTGTCCTTTGTAAATAGTGGACAATTTAAATGCAAAAATTATCGTTTTCCGTTGGAAATACTTACTTTCAGAAGCATCTGGATAATAATATCAGTCATTTGAAGAAATGAAAGATATTTTTCAGTTTTCAAATAGTTAAGTTTATTTCTAATAATAAATTAAAATTGTTTCAAGTGATTTCAGTGGTAATATTATATTCAGTGACTTTAAACGGTACAACACAACAATGGAAAAAGTAATGAAGCGAAATATGGAAATGAAAATATTGATATTTACCTCCAGTGGCTTTTCTACAATATAATTTTGGGTTATTTGCAAAGAAGTATGAGACTTGGTATCGTCGATGTTTCTTGTTGACACTTCTCCAAATTTTGTTTGTAATTCACCTTCTTCCGCTGCTGTTTGCGTTCTGAATAAATTACTCGACGAACTTTCGTGTTCGTTTATACGTGTCTGCGACATAGCTGTTTAATCAGTTTATTTATTTGAATATTTGAAGTTTTACACTATTATACTTATACACATACAGGGTGTCCAGTAAATAACCGTACAACCGGAAAGAAGTCGTGAGAGCCGGTATTGAAAATTCGTTGTGTAGCCGCGCAATTTCTATTGTATTACTTTTATTCTTGACTAATTTCATCGTTTCTAATACCTATAGGCAACTTAAACAGTAAGTTCTGCGTACTTCTTGTACAAAATTAAAGAAACAAATTGATTTTTATTTTACAAGTTAGATGGAAATAGTTTTTAATATCGTTATTAAATGCTATAAACAATACTATGAACAAAAAGTTAATAACAATATGACGTAATAGTAGTTGTATGCGTAAATTGATATTTTCAAAAGCAAAGTTTCGTGTATGAAAAACTTATCGTGCAATATCAATTCATTTTTTCATTAGGAATCGTTCTTTACCTGGTTGTATTATGATTAACTGGACCCCTGTCATGGTATTTAATACATTAATAATGGATATAAGGAGTAACTTTCAAGATATGGGAAGAATTTCCTTCTATGACAGAAGCTTCATTTTATAAAAAATATTAAGAAATATATCAACGTACTATCTTCGCTCGTAGGCGTTTCTGTTTTGAATTTGCACTTTTCCAAATTTGGCGTCTTGAAAGCAATTATGGTGGGTTTAGTCCGCATGTATCGGAAGCTTTGTGCCAATCCTCTATTCTGTGGGCTAGAATAAGCCTCATCTAGAGATTTCAGACGTGCACAACGCATTTGACGTTCGTTGAAATTTCTTTCCGATTCTGACCTCATATAATCGCGAAGTCTGTCAAATAAAGTGAACAATATCATCATCGCGAAATAATTAATATAGTAATTGTTACGTATTATGATTTCATGCAACATATTACATCATTTAAAAATTTCTTATTAATCTATTAGAAATGTTGATGTTTGAAATAATTATTATTATTTGATTTATTGCAGGTAAATCTGCAGGAAATATATAGGGTAAACCGTGTATCGTGACCACTTTAACTAATTCTGTTATTAGTAGATCCAATGATTCTTTTTTATGTCGTATAATATGGTTCAAAGAGGCCCCTAAATGATATGATTACGGTATACTATGTAAAGCTGAACGTTACGTTAAAAACTTTGAAAAAAAAAACTGATAAAAAGTGTATTGCGTATAAGCATCTTAAGGATCTCATTGAACCATATTCATCGGTCCACTAACAACACGTTCAGGATGCTCATTATTGCCAGCGTTTCTTATGACCGAAGTAGTATGTATTGTCATTGTAGCGACCAGCTACAGCGAAGAACATTTGGCGAGCAGACTACAAGCACGGTTTGTGACGTGCGCGCTTGAAAAGCTATTTTTGAGGAAACCGTTTTTAGCTTATTTAATTTCTAGAAATTCGACAATGCATGTCCGCGTAGAAACTTTCTCCGACGGCCTCAATAGCAAATTGCCGCATCATAAACCAAGGGTTTCCGAAAGGTCCGCCGTACGAGGCCCAGAGGCCCGGACTGGCAGGGCACGAGTACTTGACCTGGAGGAAACTCAGCTGCGTCGCCAAATGACGTCACGGGAAAAACCTCCCCCGCCAAGTCGCACTGCGGTCCCCGAAAAAGCGCGCCAAGGGCGCAAGGGACACGCAGCGACTCAGAAAGAAATTACCTGGGAAATTAATCAGGGATGATTAACACGTAGCCGAAAGGCAGTAGGAAAAAAGCGAGGCGACAGGAGAGCAGTCTTGCACGGACCTCCAAAGCCGTCAGCCAACGTTTAATAAAGGATCTCACTACTACCGTGTGGGTACATAGCGTAACCCTAGTCACGCCTTATTATTCGTAACTACATTACTTCAGTCATTAATACTTAATTTTTCAGTATATAATCTGAAAATGTGGTGATCCACCGTTGGATCACATCATCTGCTCAATCTTTTTTACCATCATTTTGAACGATCGATGATGGGTCATGTTAGGAAACAAGATCAACGATGATCCACCGGTGGGTCAACCGTCTTGAACGTGTTAAGGCAGAGTCGCTTAGGTAGAGGTTTTACGAGCAAGAGCTAACGACGTCGACGCCAACGTTCTTGCACTCTCAAGGGGATATTCTAGTGTGACGGTTTCAAAAAATCGATTTGTTTTCATATATCGAAAGTACAACTCTTTAAAAATGTGCTCCTAAAATTTTATAGTTGTATTCGATAAAATAACAAAGTTATAGCTATCTTAGTGTGAAGTATCAAAAGCCGGCGATAGGGAGAATGGAGTTTCGCAACAGTAAACCGCGTGGTAATCTGCACATAAATGTGGAATTTACTTGGACTTGTGATTGAAATTCGAAAAAGTGT